TCCAATACTTGGGCGCTGCCACAATGCGGTCCGTACATTATGGGGATCAGAGGTCAGGTGGGAATCCCGCTCTCGCGGCAGCCCCGTGCTCGTTTTTGGCCTTCAGGTCACTCGAAGTCGCTCGAGGTCAGGCTATTCGGCTAATCCGGACCTCCTTCGTATTTTGGGGAGGTGCTTTCCAAAAATCGTTTTAGCGCCACAGCGTACTTGGGGGGGCGACTGGTGTTAGTGCCAAAGTCCACCACTGCGACCTGCAGTTTGGACTCTTGCGGTGCTCTGGCCAGCTTGGTTCTTTTGTGGGCTTGGGCTACTCTCTTGGGTCTGCGCTGGCATAATCTTGCAAATGTTCAGGTCGGTTGCTTTCAGATTTCGGGGTTCTCTGCATACCTGTTGCCAGCATGGCATGAAGACACTTTTCTCTGGACAGGTGGGTCCTCATATCATCCCCGTGATGCTCGAGGAGCTTGCGCTGGCGAACTGGGCCAACGAGGAGTGTCATGTTCTTAGAGATTGGTCTTGCGCATGCCTGGGCTTGTGATGAAGCTTCGTGGTCAAGTCACATGTCCGTGGCTTGGTTTGAGTGAAGCAGAGTCCTTACTCAGCGAATGTCCCGGGCATCCCAACGATAATGCGAACACAGCAGCATACAGCGACTGCAGGTGCAACGAATTTGGTGCTGCTGCTCGTGAGCCTGGCAAGTGTGAATTCCAATGCGGCATTCTCGGTGTTGGTTGTCCCCAAATATGCCTTGATGTGATGTGATCGGTATGTCACACATCATGCAAGCCATCCTGTGCTCATAGGCCCTACTCATGGCGGATCAGGTCCGCTTGATGCAGCTTCAGCGACAGTGGGTCGGTATGACATCCATGCAGCGTTGGATCGGTCACCCCAAAAACACGGCTTGCTCATCTGCCTTAGCAAAGTGCCGGTCAGATCAAAGCCTCGCTGGAAACCTGCGGTATTCTGAAAGATGGTTTGCCGGCACAGACCTTAATTGCTTCCGTTGAGAGAGGCGAGATCTGGCAGTCTTATACGGGGAGGCCGCTGAGTTTTTGTGGTTCCAGAGGCCAAAAACAACAAGCTGGCGAACCATCTCTGGCCCAAGGACACACTGGCTGTATCGTATCGGAGCTCTCTTACACTCTACGGTTCATTGCGTAGCCTGCGCGTTCCAGGTTGAAGCCTTGCTGATTCGCATTGGCGACGCGAGAGCTGCCCAGGGCGACTTTTAGATAGAATTTAGCCTGCAAAGAACAGGATGCATGCTGTAGCGCAGCGCTTTAGGAATCTCCGGCCCGTCGTGATCGCCGTGGCAAGTCAAAGCCAGGACGAAGTTGCTTCAAAGATGGTAGTCGTGAACGCCACAGCAATCAGATCTGGCCATCGTAACAATTGTAGAAAGACCAGTCCACAGGTGGATACAGCTTCCCACAGCTTGTCATACGCCAGCGTAAGCTTCTTCGGCAAAATGTCGATGGAGGCGATGCTAGAGCGTGGAAGCGAGGCTCTTTCGAGAGTCTGGCCAAAGGCCTTGCGACCTGTGACAGAAGTGATTCGGTGAAGCACGATGTGCGTCAGCACGAGTTTAGGGTGCGTTTGGGCACTTGATCTTTGACTTCGAGAACAGTCACGGGCACTGCAGAGTTCGGCTATTCTGCCACGATTCCGCCACGTTCTGTGCAGGTTGCTGTTAGCCAGCGCATGCGGGTACAGCTATTGTGTTCAACAAGTCCACACCTCCTCAACCTGAGATGTGCCTCGCCACCGCACCTGCAGAATGTTCACCCGCCGCATGCCCTGAAGTGTAAAGCTTCGACCTGGCCGGACATGAAATTGTAGCGGAGACGTTCCCCGTTCCCGGATTCCACTGCAGTTCCGCTGCGTCATTGAACCATGGGAGCAGTCCATGCAGTGACCCCGCCCCAGACTGTCTGGTTTATGCGCGAGGCTGTTGAAGAGTATTGTGCTTAGGTTGGAGTTTTGTGAGGTCCCTGAAGTACGTCGGGCTTGCCGGCATGGCGGCGACTGCTGCTTTGCTCTCAGAAGCGCGCAATCAACGTGTGGGGAGTCTGAAGCCAAGCCGACGAGGCCCGAATGATAACGCCCAGTGATGTGGACCGCTGGCTGAGCGTGGACGACCCTGACTGGTGCCTCTCCTCGAGGGAGCATTGATCCATAAATCCCCGGTTTTACGTGGAACAGCAGTTCAGCAACTACTCGTATCCCCTTACTAACGCGAGAGTGCTCTCGAAGTCGGATAGCAACTCTGGTTCGGAGCCGAGGGCCAGCCTCTGCAGCATTCAACTGCCTGTTGCCCAGTCGAGCCAGCTTTTCAGCAATTTGCCAATGCGATTATCAGCTGCGTCTGAAGGCTTATGGGGTTGTATCTCTACAACGTGAGCTTCATAAATGCAGTGATTGCGCTCCTCTTCAATTTGCGACTAGGTTGGGCACCGAAGGGCACTTGAGAAGACTCATCACATGTTTGCTTCCCGGCGCACCAGGTATGAGCATTTTGGGAAAGGACCCCGCCCGCGACCCAACTCATCGACTCTATAACAGACCTCGCAACTATCTCCGTCGGAGCTGTGGTCGTGCTTGATGTGTCTTCGAGGTTTCGGGCTCTGTCCCAATTTGGCAGCTTGATGCAAGGAGACCTCTGAAAATCTCTCGTCGAACTGTGTAACAGTCAAGAGACGGCTTGCTTGCCCAAGGTCTTACATACTCTTCTTTGGCTTCCACGGGCCTACATTTCTCTACACAAGGGCGGGGTCGAAAGTTGCTTCAGCAGTTGGGTGCGACCAACTGGACATGCTTCGCAAGCACAGTTTAACCAACCTCGTGGCTGCTTAAACTTAGCGTGTATCTAACCCTGGCAAGATCCAACGAGAGCGCGACCGCAAAAGCGGTGTGGCGCCGGCTGACGAAGTCGAGCAGCTTGGCGCCATTTAGTTTGAGCTCTCCAGCGCCCCATTTTGCTTACACAGTATGTCATCCTTCCTCATCTGGCCCTGCATGCTGTTGAGCTGCCATCGTTTTCTTCTGGCACACTGCACACCCTGGACAGGCCTGGATGGTGGGTTGGTGGCCGCTACAGCAACGAGCACATCTGGCCTGTGTTGGTTTAAGAGGATGCATGGCAGACTTGTTTACTTGTGCGGATGCGAGTGGGCCGAGGCTTGGCAAGCGTTGGGAGCTGAACTCAGATCCGTGTGTTGCCGCTTTTGCTGTTGTCAGGGCGTCACGGATTCCCGGATATTCCCATACTCTTCATGGCAGCCGAGGCCGGAAACATTGACCTGACCTGCGAGTTTCCAGAGACTTCTACTCAGGCAGTTTCGCAGCAAGTGACTGCCCGGCTCTTGATTCTTTTGCCAAAAGCCGGCAGGACAGGTATCTGCTGATTGAGTGCTGGGATGGGGCGCTCGGCTTGGCCTGGCCACGCCTGGCCATGCGTCGCCGGCTTGGTGAACTTTGCATCTCGGGATCTGAGGTGCCACCTACACCCGATCAGCTTGAGGAGAGTCCACCATGAGGAAGGAAGACTGTTGCCTCAACGCAGACGCCAGGAAGCTGCACAGTTTGCCGTAGCTGCGCACGAGCGTGGAGATGCTGGGCTCTCTGGGTTATCAGATGCTGTATCAGGCTTGTGCGGCTAACACGTGGCCCTACCCGTGTGCCTATCAAGGTGCTGGTTCACTGCGCTCACGGCCGTGGGCGGTCAACAACAACGCTCTGTGCCTGTGAAGCGCTCATTTGATAGCTAGAGTGCCAACTCATGCCTTTTCCATTGCATCTGACGCGTTTAATTCCGCATCTTCGTTCGCCGACTAAAGTCCGCAAGCCTACCTTTCCAGGCTTAGTCCGCGCTGGTCTCTACCCCACCTGGGAGGAAGCGGACTCTATACTGAAACTGTTGCTTGCTACGAGTATGTGACTCTGCTTGACTGGTACAGGAGGCTTTCCACGCCATCAAGCAAAAGCGGGGGAGCAGAGGGCGATTGCTGGCTCCGTCGGAAGATCTGCTTTGGCTCAGGCGGCGGGTGGTGAAGCTGAATCGATCGATGCGCATGGCCCGAGCCCTTGGATCCCGCGACAAGTTGATCTTGCGTTCAGTGCGGATCCGAGGCCTTGACAGAATGGCAAGCGAAGTACAGCAGCAAGGTCAAATAGCTTGGGCTGGAATGAGAGGACGGTTGGGTGCACAAGTGCCGCCCGGCTGAATCCTGCATAGCTCTGGTTTGATCTTCCAACTTGTAAGGACGGTGGCATCTCCTGCCCGTTCTTGCAGTATCATGCAATTGGTTTTAACATCGTGACCTGGTGTGAATGAGGCAGCTTAGTCCCTCTGCAGCACGAGACTTAACGACTCGCTCTGTACAGGATGTCGCACACATGTAGCTCTCGACCCTGGTGCCCAAGTGCAGACATGACGCACCAGAATGGCTGCGCGAAGCTGCTGATGCAGCTGAGCTGAAGACGGGAGAACCGCAAGATTTTAGATTTTGCTTCGGTGAGAAGCATCTAAAGCACTGAATCGTGAAGAGATTCGAGATGTGTGAGCAAGGGTAGCAAGGGCATGTCTGCCCTCGGCCGGGCTTCTTTCACATTGTCCTTGGCTCGAAGACGGCTTGGGGTTCCCCAGGTGCCCGCCGTCTGGAGGCAGCAGCTCATTCTGCGCTCACACGCCCCTTTCTGATCATGCGCAGCCTGCAGGTGGCACGGGGATGCAGTAGCCTTGGTGTCCGTCTGCTGGATGCGGTGAGGCCGTTCGGGCTTTTACGTGCAATTCCGATTGATTCTAATTGTGTTCGAGTTCTAAACAACAATCACTGGTGTTGACAGTTGAAACACAGGGCAAAGCAAAGGATGCCTTGCCAGAATCACTAGGGAGCGAGCCGTTGGGCTCTTGGAAGGCAGGAGCCTGGCTACCTTGGCAGATTCATTGCAGCCTTCCAGGCTCTGCGATATCCCTGGCCATTCGCCATTCCGTGTCAATGAGGCACTTGGACAAGGAAGAATGACATTGAATGTGCACTCGGCTGCTGTGACTCACTTGCAAGGGCTGCGTGGGTGTGCGATACTGATAAGGGGACCGCTTCCGCGTGCAGGGCGAATAGCTGGGCCTACCTGAGCTTGTCGGATTGGCAGGCTTTTCAACACCAGGCTGCGCTGGCTTGGTGCCGGCCAAAGACGCAGAGTGAGTGGCTGAAACAATGCTGAAACATGCAGCCGCACAACAGCGTTACAGGGCATCAGGTTTTGGTTTTGGTTTTAGAGCCACCAAAATTCCCCGCAGCGCGTGCTTATCCGAGGATTGCTTCTTCTCTTGGGAGAATTCGTTGATTCTGCTTTCATTTACTACAAGTACCTTTCGGCGATAGCATTAAGTTAAGGGGATTCTGCAGTCTGATGTCACAGCTGTGCGAGACTGTGCGGACCGAGTTCTGTTTCCTCTTCTGCTCAGCGGTCTGATGACATCTTCGAGACGTGTTGAGAGAGGCGTGTCTTTAGCATTCCTTTTGCCGAGGTGTGCTGGCTTTGTTTGTCGACGCAAACGCGAGCCAGCATGCATTGCGACATTTACGACATCGCGCTAGACTCGGCCTCAGGGGGCCTAGCTGCAAGTCGCAGACATGCAATCTGATTGAGCTTGACTGACGTCTTCAGACCCTAGGCATTGCTGTGCCAGAGCTGCAGAAAGGTGCCCTTTGTTTGTCTCTTCCGAAGCTGTTGTTGGATTCAGCTGATGGTCTGCGTTTGTGGCGAACTTGTCTTCCAAAGCCGTTGGCGGGCAGGCAGGCACGTTGTTGTGAACGGGCTCGTCCACTCGGCAGCTCAGATCGCAGGGAAGTAGTGCGGCCAAGACCTTGTTGCCGAAAGAGACGAATGCCAGAACTGCGTCTTCGCATCAGGTAGAGCTCAACGGCCAAGAGGCTGTTGTGGAGGGCTACGATGCGGCCTCTGCCAGGAGCAACTGCTTGTTACGTTCTGTTCTTTTACCACCGCTGTTCGGTGTGGTTGATTTGACAGTTACCAGCACAGACCCGCAAGAGTGAAAGAGCAGCTCGCAGTCCCTTCCTCATGCCTCATACCCAAGAGCCGTTCCAAGACACTACGATGCGGCGGGAACACGATCTGCAACCTGGAAATGCGCACGGCAGAGTGACTGTGCTGCTAAGTCGCAGCCCAAAACTATGCAGAGCACAGGTGGGAGGACGAGTTTGGGAGGCGGGAACGTGCGAGACTGTGGCGGGAAACGGGTCACACCATGTCGCATCACGCGACTGGGAACTGTCAATTTTGCAACCCTCACAAAGGCGTGATTTCGACACCACACCGACGAGGTCGGAGGGCCAAACACACGCGGCTCGCACCACAGCGCTGCTCGTTCACGGTCCTCGTGCTCGATGAAAGCTGCACCAAGGCCAGCCCTTTGTCGTGGTCGGATCGTGCTGTGCGTCAGGTACGTGCTCCGCTTGGCGTCAGGTGCGTACCGCAAGGCCTAGTGTCCGATCGTGCCGGGGTATGGCAGAGTAGCGCCGCAGCTTCGACTTAGCAGCTGAATTCCTTGAGCAGCATCAACCGGAAGATCTGTATCCTACATCTTTTTCGGCTGAAACTCTGAGTAGACTTGCCTGCTGCCTGGTTGTGGAGATGCTGTTCAGACCCTCACACGCAGCAGGTCAAGCAAGAACATGTCACTGCCTCTTCGTACTCGAACTCGGGCCAGAAGGTAGCGTGGCAGCTCAGAAGCTGTAGCATCATGCTTCTCGTTCATACTATGCCTCTGGTTTCCTGATTCCTGCTGAGACGAGCCTCAGGGGTCACCTTGTACTATGGAAGCTGGCGCCGGTTTTGCTGCGGGTTCCCAGGCGGGGCATGCGAACGAGACTGTCTACAAGCATTGTCGGCCTTTTCCGACGTGGTCTCCGCTCGGTTCAAGCCAAGAGAACAGGCAACCAAGCTTTCAGTTACGGAAGCGACAGGAAGGATCCAAGGAGTTTACTAAAGTGCCATAAGATTCGAGAATTCCACCAGATGCAGAGATACTGACTATGAACAACATTAGGTCGAATGCGATTCTTTGAACTCCGTCGGATCCCAAGTGCCGCCAGAACCCGAACCTCGCACTTTCTATCCTCCACCCGGTCATGTAGTCTTGTATGCAGTGGATGCAGTTTACCGGCAATGCTGCCTTGTCCGCTTGTAGAAACGGTACGGTCCTGGGTGCGTCTTTGAAGGTGCAGTCCTCTTGTCTCTCTTCTGAATTACACATATTACACGAATGTCTCAGACCTCTTATGTACTCCACACATCCCAACTACAGTGAAGTAATTAGGAACTTCTGAGTGGGAGGCACCCGGGAGTGAACCAATAGTGCGAAAGTGGATGCAAACAGAAGCTGAGATAATCGTTGTGATACACATGAATTACAGATTGCAGTTGTGTTTGCTCCGTTTTCAGGTGCGATTGCACGACCTCCATTCGCCCGGAGCGGCGGAGCTCAACAGCGAACTGGGTTTGGTGCGCTGCTTCAGCGCGGCCACCGGGCGCTACACTGTGGAGCTCTCCGATGGTGCCTCCGGTTGCCTCGGGCTTCAGAGGGGGGAGTCATGACCAGAGCACATCCAGGCACCATTCCTGAATACCTGCAAAAACAAGACGGAGTTCTTTTGTCGCATGTTTGCAGCCACGTTGCAGTCAGGCCAATTGCATGCGAACAGCACCTGCCATGGCAGTCCACATACCCGCAACAACTCACAAGCTGCGTAGTCAAAGCCAGACTTCCTGACCCCGTTACCGGGTGACTTCTCTCGAACCCTGACAGACCGGGAGAAAGGAATGAGCTTCCCTGGTTTCGTTGATGGCTGATGCAGATGGCGAGGGAGGCGAGGGAGGCCCGAGGAGGAAAGAGATGTGTCCGTGTGTTTGTCTTTCCTGGAGTCCTGGAGCCGGAGAGGCGCTGATGGAAAGGGGCCTTCGTCTGTTCGGAGCTTAAGCTTCAGGCGCTTGGGGGACCCTTGCATGGACCTGGCTCTCTAAGGAGGAGCAGCTGCGGAAAGAAAAAGAAGCCGGGGCCACGTTGACTCCAAGTCGAAGCACCGCGCTTGATTGCATGGTCTGCTTGCCTGCTGGCTCACCAGCTCATGGCTCTCTCGTAGCCTTGCACCTGCACTGCGGCAACTACAGCTCGTGCATCTTTCCCTTTACGATGCTTCACAAGGCACAACGTGGCTCACAGTTCATAGGCACAGACTCAGTGCGTGGAGCCTCTTCGAAATAGCAATTCGGCCTTTGCTTTGCCCGATGTCGTCTTCCATTGTCAGATTAGCCTGCTGACTTCATCAGGAGTCTTTCGCCAACAGAAGCTTCAGCGCAGCTCATTGACTGGTACTCAAACGACGGTTCTTTCGAGCACATGCCTGCGGCTAGGAGGTAGATGGCGATACTTGGCCTCGACATCGAGGAACTCGCTGCTGCAATCCGAGAGCAGCACTTCTCAGCGCAGCAAGTGCTCCGGACATACAGGGCTCGGGCTGAGCCTTGGCGATTCCCATGTGCTCCTGATGACTGCAGCATACAGACATACAGATGAGATCCTGGTAATAAGGAGGAGATTCACCATGCTTGCAATGCAGTGGCTTTCTGGCTTCCGGATGCAGAGCAGGAAGCATGCAAGGCACAGCGTCGTCGTGTCCTTCAAAACCATCGAAGAAAGCGGAAATCATTCTAAATCTACTCAGGCAGACGAGTACCTTCAACGCACTGGCGAAGTCCTCGGCCCCTTGCACGGGATCCCTTTCACTGTTAAGGCCGGCATCCGGCGGTTCCCTCTCTTGTGCAATCTGCTGCTTCTGTTCTCTTTCCTACTTGGTTCAGGACCACATAGCTGTGGCAGACACGCCTTTGACCTTCGGCACGAAGACGCTCCAAAGGTGGCCCAGCTGCCACAACTTGGAATTCCCAGAACCTCGTGCAGGCTTGTTGGAGTTGCGAGGCATGGGCTGAAAAGCAAGAGCGATCACAACTTGGTTGCCGTGCTGCGAGTCCCTTGGGGCAGCAACGTGTCAGAATTGCATCATCTCTGGGATGTGCTTCATGACAAGCATCTTGAATCAGGCTTTGGGTGCAATTCCTTTCGCAAAGTCAACAATGACTCAGCTTGGGATGTCGCAGCTTGGCTCGCTGAGTAGATCAGTGGACTTGTCCGAAGAGTTGATTATTGCAGTCCAAGTATTGGTGGCGGGAGCCCTGCCCATGGCGACACGCTCAACCCCTGGGACACTCGGCGTACTTCCGGCGGCAGCAGTTCGGGGGAGGGTGCTTTGAGACTTGGCACATTATGCTTGCAGATTCCAGTCGGACAGGATGTCTCTGCCTTTTTTTGCTCTGCCTGGGCTAAGGGTAGGCGGCGGAGCATCACCATTTGGCATCGGTGCCTGGATCGCAAGCCAGGGTCGGCCATTCCTCCACTTCAGCCCCTGGTGCGCGGAACCCCGTTTTTCAGGTACTGATGTGGGTGGCTCTGTCCGAATACCGTCGGCCTATTGCGGAATCTCTGCCTTGAAGCCCACTCTGGGCCGGCTCGCAGCAGATTCGGCAAATCCAGAATTCGTTTTGCATGCTTCGGTACTGACACACACACACAGTGTCTTTGGCTACGTTGTTGAGCGAAGTTAGTGGAGCTGAGATTGACTGTACTCGCCCTGGGGAGCACTTCACTCCATATACGCTTGGTCTCATGGCAAGATCTGCCAAGGAGCTCCGGAGAGGGGCCCGTGGCTGAGCCAGTAGTGACTCAGTGGTTTGCAGCTGCCTCGGTGCGGAGGACCTGGCGATGCTGCACTCGGTGCTCTTCTCTGAATCTTTGTCACGGGGCGACCCTCGATTGGCCCCAGTTTCCTTCGACACACGTGAGCTCCTTCTTCGCAAAGGCCATGCACGTGATAGCAGTGTGCAGACTTCGCATCATTGCCAGAAATTAGCATCTGTC